TTAGAGAAATATTTGCTATTGCTAAACCTTAATTTAAACACTCCAGAATGAGTGGTGATTATATGTAATTTGTGCACTGACACCTTTTAAGTTTTATCTATAAGATTTTTCATGGCATCTAGTTGTATTACATTTTTAGTTTCTGATTTTTTATCTTATTCATTACCAAAAGAACGGGAGGTAAAAAATTTCAGTTGATGATCTTGCCTTTGATTATTTTTGATGTTACAAATTTTTGCAGTTCTCTTGCAAAGTTATCTCTCCTTTTTTTTTTTTTTAAATTTGGAGACTGCATGGCATAGTGGGCTTTAGTGTCAGAAATTCTTTGATTAGTAATCCAGTTTGATTTTATTCATATTAATTAGCTGTAAAGCTAAGGTAATATGTACCTCAAAGGGTAGGATTAGATGAGATAGTATAAATTGATAGGATTAGATGAGCTAGTACAAGTAAAATGGTTAAGGATAGTAACTAGCAGGTAGTATGCATAGATTTCAACCTTCATTGGCCTTGAATCTGCAGATTGACACACCGAAACTCCTCCTAGGTGCTCTATTTCAACTTTCGTGTAACAATGGTGAGAAACATTTTGAACTATCACACAGTGGTGAGACAGCTTATCAGCCAACCAGCTGTTCTGTTGCTATGGCATTGCTATCATTCTTTCCATGTACTGTTTGTGTAGTTTCTTACCTATTTTTTTTTTTTTTTCTTTCTCATGACTCTGCTTTTGGGAAAAAAGCACAGAAAGAACAGGGATGAAGAGGTGAGTGGGCAGTGCATTCATCCAGAATTGTTTTTTTTTTTTTCTTTTTTCCTTTGAAGGAAGGTTTTTGCTTTTAGAAAATACTTTAAAAATCAGTTTTCCATTGGATTTTTATTCTCTGTACAAACACACAGAAAGAATTCCTTAGTTAAGTGACAAGAAACATAATCTTAGACTCAATAGGTTTGGACAATACAGAAATTATTGGGTAGATATGACAGTAATGTCAGTATCTTACTGGATTTAAGTTGGTAACCAGGGTCTTTAATTTTGAGCTAATAAAACGATTTTTAAAATATGCAAGAATGTATCAATTAGAAATTGAAATAATATATAACAACAGATCATGAAATATCTAAGGGATAATTTAATATAATATGTATGTATATAAAGGAAAGTAATACTTATTTATAATCCCTTTTCTTAGGTAGTTGTATTTTATTGTGGACTTTTCCTTATGCATAAGCTCATACACATACATAGACACTTTCTTTCTCTCTCTTAAAGATTTTATTTATTAGTTTTTGGTGGGTGCTGAACCCATCCAGGATCCAGGATCCATACATACTAGGAAAGCATTCTATGCTAGAGCTACATCCCCAGCACCCCAAAGATTTATTTTAATTTACCTTCATCTAATTACCTTTACCTAACAATATTTCATGAATATCTGTGATAGTAATTATAAATCTTCTTAATTTTAGACATAATTTTTTTGGCTGTATAATATTCCACTATAACACAATTCATTTACTTTTATTTCATTTTTTAACCTTTTAAAAAATTATTAAGTATAATGCATGTCCATAAAATTACATAAAACAAAAACACTAGTCTGGTTTATGGCAGTCAGTTTTTTACCTTTTCCCCTTTTTAGTTGACTATTTGAGTATTCATTCCTAAACAATACAGTTTTCCTAATTGAAACAAAGTTTTATATAAATGGAATAATTCAGTATGTTTTATTTTGTGTCTGTATTATTCTGTCTAATGTATTTTCAAGATTTATGTGTATTGTGTGACGTTGTAGTTTATTTTCATTATTATACTTTATTCCACACTATGAATATACCATATTTATTCTGCTTTTGATGTATATCTGGGTCCCAACTTCTTGGCTCTTATGTATAATGTTGTTCCATGGTTATATGACTAATGCTTCTTCATGTCATATCTGATATGTATATTTTTCTAGGGCTTTTATCTGAGAACTGCAACATCCCCATCACTTGGAAACTTGTTAGAAATGGAAATTTCCAGGACCCACCCTAGACTTTATGGGTCAAAAACTCCAGGAAGATGCCTAGCAATTTTATGTTGTTATAAGCTTTCTGGATGATTCTCATGATTGTTGCAGTTTTAATTCTATTGTTCTAAAGCAAAGGCTAGCAAAATATGGCCCACTGTTTTTACATAGTCCACAGAGAAGGTTGTTCATATTTTTAAGCAGTTGAAAGAAAAATTAAAAGACGAATAACATTTCTTGACTTAAATTATGTGAAACATAACTTTCAGAGTCCATCAATAAAGTTTTATTGTAACATAACTGTGTTCATATGTTTGTGTATTGACTATGGCTATTTTCTTGCTACAGTGGCAAGCTATTGCTTGTGACAGAGACTGTTACAGCTCACAAAGCTTAAGACATTAACTATTTGGCCTTTTCTAGTAAGTTTGCTATCTCTGCTTCAGAACATATGCTTAGAATTAAAATTGCCAGGTTAAAGGGTATGTTTACCTCTAACTCTTGAGATAATGTCAAATTTCTAACGTGGTTATACTAATTTACACCCTTATCAGAAGGAAGGGCCTGATAGTTCTTATTGCTTTATATTCTCATCTGTATTATCTGAGTTAAGTCCAGCTGTCTTGGTGGGTTGGTAGTATGGTCTTTGTTGTGTTACTTTGCCCTCAAAATTGAATATGAAAAATTTCAAACACAGAAAAGTTATAAAATTCTCTAAAAGTGAAAATCCATATCCTACCTTCTACGATTTACTTTTTACTTTAATATTTGTTTTATCATATCTTATCCATCCTGTTCTCAACCTCAGTCCATTTTAGGGTAAGTTGTAGAAACCAGTATACTTCCCATGAAATACTACAATATGCATTTCATTAATTAGAGTTTCACATTTAGCATTTTCTTTATTTAAGGTAATATTTACATACTGTCAAGCATACAAATCTTAAATATATCTATTTATGAGTTCTGACAAATGAATGAACTTGTACAACTCAAACTTACCAAGATACAGAACATGACCATTACCCCACAAAGTATCCTACTGTTCCATTTGTAGAGTAGATTTAGTAAATATAAAAGTGGGCTTTAAATGGCATAGCTTTCGTGTTGGTCTGGCAATTCTGCATGAACAAAGAGAACTTTGATGCTTGTTTTACCTACCAAGTCTAAATTACCCAATCCATTTTTGATTCCATTGAGTTTCATTTTTGCTCCTGAAATTTTTATTTCTTTTGAGAAGTTTTTTCTTTCTCTTTGTCTTTTTTTTTAAAAAACAAGTCACTTTTTACAGTTTCATCTTCATACAGTTATCATTGGCTTTGTTTTTTATTTCTTCACACATAGTAGCATAGTTGTTTACATGTCTTACATGTTTACATGTAAGACACTATCTTTTACTATCTTTTTATAAATCTTTTTTTTTCTTTAGTTTTGCTCATTTTATTATGTGCTTTGTTACAAAATACAATGTGCTTGACATTGTCTTTCAAAATTTATTTGTGGGAATGCTTTGGGGCCTACTATAAAGGTACTTTCCCCCAGAGAGGATTTGAATTTGTTTCTGCCAGGTGCCTGGGACATTTGAATTGGGGATCACCTTAAAACAAGTTGAAGGCTTGAGCTGTGACCCACAGCATTTGAATAGGAGTCTCTTGTTAGATACTCTACTTTGTATGAGCCCTATTTTGTAGAATAACCTTCTGTGCTGTTTAAAAAACATTTTTAAATTTTATTAGGTTTTTCTATAAGTGTTTGACCTAAATAATTTATTTGCTTCACTGAAACAGCAAGTTCAGCTGTGATATATTGAATCAGATACTTCTTATTGGACATTTAGTTTTTTTCCTTATTATTATAAATAACACAGTAAATGAAGAAACATTCCTATTTACATACTTGTCCTGTTATTAAGATTAATCTGAAAAATCAAATCATTAGGGTCTTCTTTTTAAAAGACTTTTTGATTTGTATTGCTAATATACCATGCACAAAGATTGTTCCAATACTGACTGGGTTCGATGGCACACACCTGTAATCCCAGTGGCTTGGGAGGCTGAGGCAGAAGCATCGCAAATTCAAAGTCAGCCTCAGCAACTTAGCAAGGCCTTAAGCAACTCAGTGAGACCCTGTCTCTAATAAAATATAAAAAAGGGCTTCGGATGTGGCTTTGTGGATAAATGCCCTTGGGTTCAATCCCCTGAACCCACCCCCAACAAAAAAGTTAAAGATTGTTTCAATACTGTATATACTAAATCTTTCTAACTTTTGCAATTTTAATTGCTAAATTATTTTTACACATATAATATAATGTTGGCTGTGTTTCACTGTTTTTGGATTACTTACTGCTACTTACTGAGAGGAACTCAGATGTCAGATGATGTAACTTAATTCCCTCAATTTTTCATTTATGTTTCATCTTTATTTACAGATTTTTCTGGGTATTGAAGTTTGAGGTTTTTGTTTAGTCAGATTTATCCATCTTTTCTTTCTTGAAGCTATAAGAAGTCTCAGATAATAGATTTGTAGTTATTCCTAGAAAAAATAGTGTTTCAAGTTTGGATTATCTAATGTGACTAGAAAACTGAGAAATAGTTAAACCACTGTTAACCTCATATAGGCATTTTAACAAACTATCATAACACTTGAATTGAAATAACGCTCATTTTTAGTGTATATTAACCCAAGCTTTTATTATAGTCCCTTTTCTCTTATTGTAATACTTTCTGTTTCTTTGCTGTTGTTCTTCTGATGATGTACTTCTTCTGAAATTGGCAGAGAAAAAATTTAGATTACTGAATTTAGATTTCTTTCATGTTTTGCCTTCATTAGTGACAATGTTGATTTTATAATCATATTACAAATGATTTAAAATATTCGGATATTACATTTTTTATAAAAGTATAGGATTTTACTAGAATAGGAGAACATTTTGTCACAATTGAAAAAGGCTTAATTTTTAAAAATGGTATAAAATATGTTTCCTTTTAGATAAGCGATGAAGAGAAGAGTCTTCGAGAAGAGGAAATTATTGCCTCTTCACCAAGTTTAAGTGGGGTTCAGTTGGAGACGGAGTCAGTTTATAAAGTATGTAAATATTTAAAATATGTTCTAGGATTTGTTAAATATGTTACTTTGAGCTTTATGCATGTTTAATTCGTACATTTTGTGTAGCCCCTTGTCACCACCTCTACTCCCTTTCCTGCACAGATCTTGTCTTCACTGCACTAAGGCTGTGCCAACATTCACCACTAGGCTGTCATCTTACACAGATATCCTATTAATTGATGGAGCTCAGACACCCATGACAAGCCAATCTTTTAAAAGAATGAGCTCCTTGCATTGCTTGGGCTCCTATATCCACAGAGCTCCTCCTTCTGTAGGATACCCTCATCTCCCATTTGGCTCCAACACTGTTTAAATCACTGCCTTGCATGGAAGCCCTCTTCACTGGTTTGGGCTTTGACACCATGCTTCCTTATGTGGTCTCTACTGCATTCTACTTGGACTGTGACACCGTAAGCCTACCTGGTCTCCTTCTGTTGAGAGCCACAGCCGAAGGGGCCCCAGCAAACTTCCAGCTGCCAGCAAACTTCCAGCTGCCTACTCAGATTTCTTCTTCCTGTGCTAGGTCCCCTTTACTTTTCCAACTTCTCAGCATAGATACCCACTGTGTTTGAACCCACCAAATAGCTTTTCGATTGAGTAGATCTGAAGGGAAAGAAAAGAGAGCTGAAATTTAGTTTAAAATTTGATAACTCCAACTCCACAATTCCCTTTGAAAAGAATGTGCTGATTATCATTGAAAGTGCTAGTAGTTTAAAACCCTGCCTCTGCATTAGCTCTCTATTCCAGCCTCCTCATTTCCATATGTTGGCATCATTTAGTCAGCCTTTCACACTGGGAGTATGGGGATCAATAGTCCTCCCACACCATATATTTCTCATTATTCTGCCTTCATATCATCTTATACTTTAGCTTGGACATTTTTATTTCCACTGTGACCACCTTAATAAGCTTGAATCATGGATTGTTATTGCTAAAGAACCTCTAAGTATCATTTAGCCCATCCTTTTCTCCTCTCTCCCAGTTTCACAGATCTGAATGCTGAATTTGAAAATCATTTATAAGATTAACAAATAAATCTCATCACTAGGAGACTAGACAAGATTCTAGACTTGGATTAGAATTTTTGTTTCCAAACTTTTGTGTCCTTTTCTTGCCTGTGTTATTGCACTAAACCTTCTTACCTGTTCCTCCCCTGTGTCCTGTTGAGTTGAACCACTTGTTTGATATAATATCATACATGGTGCCACTATGTAGAGCTGTTTGGCTTTTTATGTATCTGTCTCTTGCTGTCCTCAATTATGTGATGAACTCCTTGAGGACAACAGTTGTAATAATAGCTTTTGATACATGTACCAATTTCTGTCTGGTTAAAAAACATGTGACCTGTTTATAGTGTGAGGCGTCATCAGATATACAGAATTGTAGGCATATAGATTTCACTCTTCTAGAATGTGGGTGAGTAACATGTTTGGGGATCAATTTTCAGCTAACTTTTTGTCTGATTATAAAAAGAAGAAAAATGATGTTGGACAGTGAGGATGATTTTCACAGTTAGCTAATATAATATTTTGCTTATTTATTAAAATTTCAGTATAGTTCATAGGACCTAAAAAATGTAAGTCGAGTATTATTTTTAAGTAGTTATGACAAATATTTATTTTACTAACTAAACTGAATGCTTATTATATCCATTTCTTATTGTGAAGATTAGCTTTTCCAATGTATTTCTCCAGAGAAAAAATGGAAACATAGCTGAAGAAATTTTAAATTACTTTGCTTACAAGTAATTTTCAGTGCTGAATATGTTGTATATAATTTAGGATTTTTTTTGGGGGGGTGCAGAATAAAATGTGGGATATATCATGTGAGGTGAATGTAACATGCTGAGAGACCTCAAGTGTGGAGTTTGAAATCCTGGGCATTATAATTTTTAATGATAGGTTATGAATAAAAGAAAGCATTCTAATTTACCTCTTATTGTTGATATTATTTTTTGAGGCATTTACTCTGAAATAATTTTATTTTTACATTGCTATTTCTTTTAATGCTAATTGTTTGGTTTTAAGGGACATAAATTCATCTTTCTGTTCTGGTTTGTGTCTTTTGAGACTAATGAATTTCTTTGTTTAGACCTAATACTTGTAGTGACATGCACTGACTGTTTTTCCTTGTGTCACCCTGAATTCAGATCCCTTTTGCTGATGCTCTAGATTTGTTCCGAGGAAGGAAAGTCTACTTGGAAGATGGCTTTGCTTATGTGCCACTTAAGGACATCGTGGCAATCATCCTGAATGAATTTAGAGCCAAACTGTCCAAGGCTTTGGCAGTAAGTATTTCACTTCATTTCTGTATTTGATGTGCTCACATTTTAAATCATGACATCCTTGGTAGTTTTGTTTCGTGCTTCTTTATGGGATAAATAAATTCAGTTTTCATAATGCTGTTTAGATTGCCTATGATGTTGTTCTGTTCATTCCAGAACTCCCAGTTTTTTTCTTATTACTACCGACAGTTGGTTTTCTTATTTTTTCTTCTATGAATATTGGCGGTGAGCTGATTAATTTCATGAGTGGCCTCTGGATTTCTTCAAGGTCATGGCTTTTTACCTTGATGATGGACTTCATATATAGCTCTTGGTGGATATAACCCCTAGATTTCTGTTCCAAATTAGTATTTTGTATCAGTGGAGGCAATATAAAAGATAGTTTTTTTGTTTATTTATTTGTAGTGCTGGGGATTGAACCCAGTGCCTTATGCATTCTAGGTAAGTACTCTACCAGTGAGCTGTACCTCCAGGACTAGAAGGAAATCTTTATGTAATGTATTTAAGAAATTCTGCTATGTGCTAGTGCTGCGAAAACAGCCTTGTATGGGATGCAATCAGAGGTATCTATATAGAACAAATGATAGGATTAGTGTGTTGAAAGTAGTTTGTTGAAAGCATGACGCTTGAGGTGACATCTTAAAATTGTACACGTTATGCATTGTTGTTATCTTTTAATGTAGGTCTAGTCTTTTTTTTTTGTTGTTCTTTGTTGTTGGTACTTAATGTGGAAGAGGCCTTCAGAGTATAAAGATGAGTCTTTTAAGCTGATTACTATGTAAACATATACTACGTTCTCCTTTTGAGTTAAAAATTGTAGCGTTTTCTGGTATAAATAACTTTTATTATTGAGTCTCTGGGGTTGCCTAAACATGTGTCATTCAGTTACATCAGCATTTGGGAAGACTGAAATATTAACTTTATTTTTATTAAATGAGATAATTTATGAAAATAACTTGTAGATTTTAAACTGGTGTGTATGGTGTTTTTCTGATGTTTGTGTGTTTGTGTTTGTGGTATTGGGAATTGAACCCAGGGTGTTATGTATGCCAACAATCTCTACTACTGAGTAGACTCTCACCCTTAATTAGGCATTTATTAATATTCCTTCTTGATCCCTAATTCTATGTTACTTTTTTTATCTTATTCTTAAACTTGTTCCTTATATATAATTTTTTCTCTTGTCTGAAATAGTAATTAGTACTATTTACAATCTATTTATAGATAAGAATAGTGTCTTTTACCATTGAGATCCTCTGTGGAGGACACGAATATTAGTCTATTATTCTTGGTTTTGCCTGTTTTCTTTTTGTTGACCTTTTGGATAGCACTTCTTTGGGTAAATCAGCCATATACTTTTCAAGACAGTAGCTAAATGTCATCTACTAAATGCCAATAGTGGCCCCTAGTCTCCATGACAATCATAGATATCACCATGCATCTCAGAAAGCTTCTGGAGTTACTTTTAGGCCAAGTATTGTGACTTCTCCCTCAATATTTGGTCCATGTATGTGACACAGTGTAGTTCTGGCCGAATAATATGAGAAGTTGTTTGGGGCTTCTGAAAGAAAATCTTATTGCTAAAAAAATGGGCACATGTGATGAAATAGTCCTTTTTCCCCTTCTGAATAGTATTATAACTGAATGTGATACCTATAACAGCTGTAGCCATCTTGAGATAAGGCAGATGACGATTGAGGACAGCCCAGTTTGCAAGAAAGACTTGTAGAAAGGTGGAAAGAATTAAGTACTGGTGCCATCGAGTAGCTGAATTAACCAGCAGTGGAACCACTAAGATTTCTTATTATAGGATAATGAAGTTTCAGCTTTTAAGGAACTAATTCAGGAACTCATATTTGAGTGGAATTGTGTTTCTGGCAGCAGAAAACCTCTTGACACTAGTTTAGTGTTCCCATTAAGTGGTGTTACCCACCCTGCCCCCCTCTGTTGCAGGTAATAGAAAACCAGCCTGGACTACCTTAGCCAGTAAATGGAATCTGCTAGCTCATGAAGTTAAACATTCCAGATTTAGTAGTGGAAGTTTCGTACATAGCTTGATTGGTGTTCTATTTTTTTCCAGTTGCCTTTTCTCCTATGCATGTGCTTTGTTCCTCAATGATTTTTTGGAATGATATCCAAATCAAGGATATCATTCCAAAAAATCATCCCAGAATTTCTACCCTTAGTCTTAATATTTACTGAGCTTGTAATGGCTTAAGTCACATGCTGTATTAGCTTCCTAAACTGCCATAACAAAGTATTACACACTGGTGTCTTAGAATAATAGAAACTTATCGTCTCTTTGTTTTAGAAGGTAGAAGTTTTAAAATCAAGAGATTAGCATGTCTGTGTTCCCTCTGGGTGTCTCTTCTAACTTCTGGTAATTTTTTGGCTTGTGACAACATAGATCCAGTCTTCACATGGCATTCTCCCTGTGGAGCACACACTTCTACTTATTATGAGGACACCAGTCATATTGGATTAAGGGGCCCTCTTACTCTAGTGTGACCTTATTTTAATTAAGTGTATTTGCAATGACTGTTTCCAAATGAGGTCACATTCTGAAATACTATGGGCTAGAGCTTTAATATGTAATTTTGGAGGACACAATTCAACTATCATATTTCTATCACTTAATCAGTTATTGTGGTCAAAGAGATTGCCTAGCCCAAGGTCATGGGTCTTCTCTATTAGTTCTTAGTTGGTGGATCATGGGAGCTGACAACATATTCCTGAAATCACAATATTTCCAACAGATGTGGAAGACTGATTGCTAGTAATGGGGAGTGGGGAGAATGATAATGAGGAGGCAGACAACTGCTGTATGCTATGTATTAGACACTTCATGTGTATTATATGTAATTTGTAGGGGCTGGGGCTGTAGCTCAGTGGTAGAGCCCTTGCCTAGCATGTGTGAGGCACTGGGTTCGATCCTCAGCACCACATAAAAATAAGTAAAATAAAGATATTGATTTCATCTACAACTAAAAATAAAAATTAAAAGTAATTTGTAATATCCATTTAAGCCAAGTTGTGTAATACCTAATTTAATCATAACTATGGAAATGAATCCAAAATTGTTTTACTTTGGGGGCTTCAAACACTTCTGATTTTGTGTATTTCCATGTTTAAGTAAATTTTTAATAAATTTTATAAATTATTTTATAAATCATTTTATTTTATATATTTATTTTATGTATTTAACATATATTTAAATTATTTATTTTATATGTTTATTTTATAAATTTGTCCTTAAACTTTTTTTGCATTTGCTATAAATTTTTCTTTCAGATAATTGAAGATGTTCCACATATATTTGCTATCCAGTTCATCTTTCTAATAATCCAGTGTAGAAAGAAGGATATGTGACAGGTTTTCACAAAATTTTAGAATTTTTTTCTTTTGGGTAGAAGTCAGGGGATCTAAGTATACTAAGAGAAAAGACAAAATTTAGGGCACGGGCTAAGTGGTACAGCACTTGCCTAACACATGCACAGCGCCCTGGGTTTAATCATTGGTATCATCAAAACAAAACAAAAAAACACCAAAAGGCAAAATCAATGAGATCCTAAGTTTGTAATGCAATCATTTTTCAGCAAGTTACGCTTAAACTTGTTATTTGTGGATAAGAAATATAACCTATAAACTTTGAATTCCTTTCTTCTTCCCATCCCTTATTGTGTGTTATCATTCTCATATTAGAGAGAATATTTGGCCTTTGGTTCTGTGGGATTGTCTTATTTCACTTAACATGATAGTCTCCAGATCCATCTATTTGCTGGCAAAGGACAAAAAGTTATTTTTTTTATGGCTGAGTAATAATTCATTGTGTATGTATACCACATTTTCTGTATCCATTCATCCGTTGAAGGGCACCTAGGTTGGTTCCATAGCTTAGCTATTGTGAATTGAGCTGCTGTGTCCCTGTAGTATGCTGATTTTTTAGTTTTTTTGGCTATAAACCTAGGCGTTGGATGCCTGGGTCAAATGGTGGTTCCATTCCAAGTTTTCTTGGAATCTCTGCTTTCCAGAATGGTTGTACCAATTTTCAGTCCTACCAGCAATGTATGAGCCCAACATACTTCTTAAATTTAATTTTTAAAAATTTGAAGTAATCATCAATTTACAGAAAAGTTTCAGGGAAAAACCAGTAACTTTTTCTCTAAACCATGTGAGATAAGTTCCCATTCTGATTCCTTGTCACCCCTGATACTTTTTAGTGTGATTCCTACAAATGGTACTTTTCTCCCCATAATCCCAATTCAGCTGTAAAAATGAGGAAATTCATATCAATATGTCAATATCATCCAATCCTCAGGCCCTATTCAAGTTATACCAATTGTCTCAATCATGTCTTTTATTTTAAAAGGATCCAACCTAAATAACATTTGTTGTTTTGTTGTCATGTCTCTAGTCTCCTCAGGTGGGAACAAATTCCTAGGTTCTTCTTGATTTTCATGGACTTTGTTGCATTTTTTTTTTTTTTTTTGTACCCGGAATTGAACCTAGAGACATAACTGAGCCACATTTCCGCTCCTTTTAATTTTTTCTATTTTGAGACAGGGTCTTTGCTAGGTTGCTTAGGGCCTCATTAAGTTGCTGAGGCTGACTTTGAATTTGTGATCCTCCTCCTCAACTCCCTGAGCCATTGGGATTACAGGTGTGGGCCACCGTGCCCAGTGACTTTGTTGCTTTTGAAGATTTAAAAAACTAATTATTTTGTAGAATATCTCTCAATTTTTGTTTGTCTGATGTTTCCATGTGTTTAGATCCAAATTTTACATTTTAAGAGTATCACAGAAGAGAAACTGAGTTCTTTTCATTGCATTCTGCCAGATGCCATGATTCTGATTTAGTCTAGTTCTGATTGATTTTGTCAAAATTTATGTGCTCATCCTATTGTTCATAGGCATTTGTATCTTCTTTTCTTTTTCCTTTTTGGTTATTACTAATTCTGCTGCTCTGAATATTCTACTACATCTCTTGGTAATCACGTTTCTACT